CACATTGGTAGATTCCTTTGTACCATGAAGTGTGCTCCTCTTCACTACCTGTCGTCATGTCAGAGAAAATGATCTGGTCTCATAGTTTTAAAATCATTGTGCAGTGTTTTGGTGTCTGATAAGCCTCCAAACTCATGGGTATGTTACTCAAACCGGCCTTCCAGGATCATATTTCACATGTCCCTGAAGCAAAACCCCCCATTAACACAAACCCAATCACACTGTATATTTAAATCCATCTAGCCATCCATTTTCTGCCACTTATCCGCTTAGCTGGGTCGCGGTGGCAGTAGGCTAAATAAATTGTTTTCCAAGTCCTCCCAGGCGCCCCTGAGGCGTTACCAAGACAGATATATAATCTCTCCTGTGTGTTCTGGGTCCAGGAGACATCCTGATCGCCCTGAACCACCTCAACTGACTCCTTCTGATGTGAAAAAGAAGCGGCTCTGCTCAGACCTCCATATGTCTGATTGCGTTACCCTATCTCCAAGGGTAAGCCCAGACAAACTAAATCTGGCTACTTGCTCTGCAATCTCATTCTTTTACTACCCAAGGTTCCTGACCATAGGAGAGAGTTGGAACATAGATTGACAACTGAATTGAAAGCTTTGCCTTTTGGCTTAGCTCCCTCTTCATCACAACGGCCCCTTACAATGCTTGCATTACTGCTGACCCCACACCAATCGTCATCCTCACGCTCTATTTCACCCACACACTACCACTTGTGAACAAGGCCCTGAGCTTTTTGAACTCCCAACCTGGAGGGAGCAAGCAACCATTTTCCAGCAGAGAGAACTACCTTTTTTAATTGCTTTTGATCGATTTGAACACTGCTAACAAGCAGCCACATGCTGTGATGATGAGAGGGACTGAGAGTATGCTAATATGCCATCACTATTCAGTACTACTAAGTCAGACTTGCAGAGATTTAAACCAAAGACTTTCATTTGCATGGCACTGAGGAGTCAGTCGCCGCATTTTTGGATTGTATAGATGGCACCTGTGTTGAGGTGCGCAAACCAAATCTATGCTTTTGCACAAGTCTGATGGTAGTGTTTATAAGCAGGAGGAATCAGCTCCAGTTTTCCCAAAGACATGCCAGTCATAATCCTAACACCAAACATAGTTCTGATGGATTGAAGCAAGTTGTCCTGCTGGAACAGAAAACCCCTGAGGCAGAGCCTCTGAGGGAGGCCTTTGAGAAGAAATTCATACAACATGAGCTCAGTGACTGCTGCCACAGCAGCTGGAGATGTGGACACATGCCATTTGTGGTTAGATGGAGGGGCTTCGCAGTCCACTGCATCTCCGCAGCCTTGAGCTGTCTTCAGTATTGTGGAGGAGAGGAAAAGAAAAGCTAACAGCAGCCAGAAGAGCAGTTTTCTGAAGAGAAAAGAACAGGAACACCACTGATGAAGGGTTTATGGCACACAAGCTATCTATTCTTATCTCTTTATATATGTATATAGGAATACACACAATGCAAAGGTTTAGTCATCAATATGTGAATTTGCTGCACTGACATAAGATGAAACAAGAACAGGAACAGTAAACTCTGTCCACCCTAGAAAATGCAGAGCACTGTATGTGCTGTATGTGGAGGAGTGGACACTGCATAACAGCAGTTTCTGATTTATTCTACTATATGCATGAGCAAATTAGAAACAGTGGAGGAGTTTTTCCTTTTGCTCACCACTTGTGTCTTTACCCCACTTGCTCTCAAATATAGGTACATAAACTGGAATGAAGCTATGTATGGAAATCTGTGCAGCTGTATAGGGCCGTTTGTCCCCTCTCTCCGGACATCATCCTCTTATATAAAGTGAATGTGAAAGCCTACACACCCAGGCACCGGGGCTGTCAGGAGAATGACCAATCACCAAGTTCACCACTACTCCTCTTTCACAGCATCTCCTATTCTCCTATATCAATAAAACATAGATGTTACATTGAATGCATGCTCGTGTCTTTCTGGCATGTGTTCCAAGATTGGCCCAGATGGATTGTAATGTGCTGTATCTAACACTCTGCCATTCAGGTGTGTAAATTACGTAGACCTTGACTGATAAATGAGGATGGCTGATATCTGTTGGACCACTTTTGTCACTCTGTCCCTTGCCTTTCTCTGCCATTTTCCTCATATTCCTTATCTGTACTTTGAGTTTAGTACTACTCAGCAAATATTAGGATGCTAACATGAAAAAAAAACATGTTGATATTGGTTAAAATTATTCCTTCTAAAAACGAGGATTTAGCTAAAAGCACCACTGTGTCTATGTACAGCCTCAGAGCCACTGGCTGTTGACGTTTAGTCATGTTCAAGTATAGAATGTCCTGCTAAGAAGGTATCTTGGTCACAAATCTTATCATTTGTCTATTTTCGTCCCCATTCACCATCTCTTTCCCTTTATTTTATTTCATCCCTCTCGATTGTCGCTGGAGAAATCTCTATCTGATTTTATTTTTTAAATCCAATGTCGGTATTATTCTTATTATAAGTATTCTTATTAATTAAGTGAATCCTGGTTACCTTAAACAGAATTCTGATGCACTCAACACATGGAAATGCCAGAATAATGCTAATGAGGGAGAGTAAAAAGTGTATTGCATTACAATCACTTGCTGTCCTTTTAAGGCAATCTTTGTGAGTAGGTGCCATTAGTAGGAGCAGGTGTTGGTCGGACCACCGACGAGGGAACAGGAGTCGGCTGGGCCACCAACGGAGCAGGTGTTGGTCGGACCACCGACGAGGGAACAGGAGTCGGCTGGGCCACCAACGGAGCTGGCGTGGTCGGACCACCGACGAGGAACAGGAGTCGGCTGGGCCACCAACGGAGCTGGTGTTGGTCGGACCATCGACGAGGAACAGGAGTCGATCGGACCACCGGCGGGCTGGAGCGGTCGGTCCACAGACGGAGCACTAGGAACAGGAATCGGCTGGGCCACCGGCGGAGCTGGTGTGGTCGGACCACCGACGAGGAACAGGAGTCGATGGGCCACCGGCTGGGCTGCTGCCGGTCGGACCACCGACGGAGCACGAGGAATGGGAGTCGGCTGGGCCACCAACGGAGCTAGTGTTGGTTGGACCACCGACGAGGAACAGGAGTCAGCTGGTGATCAGGCTGGCTGCTAGCAGCGCTAGCAGGCCGGGGCTCAAGCAGGTGGGCAGGCAGAAAGCTAGCAGCACTAGCTGGCCTGGGATCACGCTGGTTGCAGACGGGTCGCTGTTAGTGACCTGGTCGCGATGACCACCACGGGAACCCAAAAAGATGGCCAGGCGACTTACCTCCGGGGGAAGCCTAGCCTCCAGGCTATCAGGCCATAGGCTAGCTGGTCAACTCAGAGCTGGTTGGCTGACTAGCAATCCTAAGGCTCTCTGGTTCTAACGGCAAGTCCATCAAAAAGAGACCAGAGAGCTAGATGTCCAGGAGTCCCCAACCAGTCCGGATGATGGAGCCAACACAGGAGGGAGATGACCAGGCGGGCGGCTAGCAGCGCTAGCCGGGAGGGAATCAGGCGGACGACTAGCAGGCTGGGTGCTAGAAGGCCGGGAGAGGAAGAAGCCTCCCACACTGCAGCTAGCAGGCTGGGAACAATCCTGGAGCTAGCAGCACCGGGGACAGGCTGAGGACTAGCAGCGCTAGCCGAGCTGGAGACTGCGGATCAGGCTGGCGGCTAGCAGCTCTAGCGGGCCGGGATCAGGCAGGTGGGCAGGCAGAAAGCTAGCAGCGCTAGCAGGCCGGTAATCAGGCGGGGCAGGTTGGGGTTAGCCGGCTGACGGCTAGCTGGTTGGCTGACTGGTAGCTGGCTAGCCGCCACAGTGCTAGCCGGAACAGGCAGATGGCTGGCCCCTGCAGCTCCACCAGGCGGTGAACCTGACAGGCCGATACCTGCCTCAGAGCCCTCGGGAGTATCCAAAATCTTCTCCAAGTCTCTCTTCATTTGTTTAATTACGGCTAACTGCGCAGCCATGGAGGGTAAGTTCAGTAGCCTGGGTTTTACGGCTAAGTGACTTCTCCATTAACCCATAAACAAAGAGTCTGCGTCTCAAGTCTTAAATTAGGCAAAAAATTAATTTCCAGGATTAATTTATAAGTAAAACTCTTGAGTCTCTGACATTATAGTCACACATTTATGAGAGAAACTTCACTTTGCAAGGCTGCAACATCACACAACACACATCTCTGCCGTGTAGTATGCATGCAGTGGAAAGTTATATTAGACTTTGCAAATGGATTTAGCAGTGAGGAAATACTCGTGAGTTTAGCCTACAATCACTATATTATTATGCACCTTAGAAATTTTGCCATGGATTGGGCGTATTCAGATAAAAACACCAGAGTGATTTAGATTTTTTGTGACTTTAGTTTCAGGGAATTTCAGATTTTCATTCTGGCTTTTTTTCTCGGTTTATTAACCCCCACTCTGGCTCTGTATTTTTTGGACACGTAAAATAGTCAATCTAAATATGTGAAAACACTTAGGATAATTCAATTATAGCCAACAGATGGGTTACATCTAAGAAACTGGCCTGTTAATTAATAAAGATCTCCCCCCTAAAATCACAGAAGCTGCAGGGCTCGCACATAACGATGTTGTAGCTGCAGCTGCAACCGCAGTGGAACAAATCAGGATGAAATCTAAACATATTTTATTAAGTGATGTGTATTAATAACCTACTTCTCATCTTTAAAAAGGTGGTATTAGGCTCATTTTCAGGTTCAAAATCTTATTTAGGGGTTGTACCAGAACAGGTTTACATGGTTTAATTTTCAAAAAAACACCATATTTTTGTTATACTGCACGTTGCTGCAGCTCCTCTTTTCACCCTGTGTTGAACGCTCCGTTTTAGCTATGGAGTGATACATCTTGTCTCTAATGATCTTTTTTGGGAGTTGCACATGCGCAGTTCCTAGTTAAGGACTACTACCCAATCAGAAGCAGAGAAGGGCGGGTCAGAGAAAAGCCGGTAATAGCCAATCAGAAGTAGGGAAGGGCGAGTCAGTGAGAAGCAAACACAGCTTTGTTTCAGCTGTACATGTTGCCAACCAGCCTGGCTGGAGCAAGAGTTTCAGAGTGGTGAGTTATTAATCTGTAACAAAAGTATCTTTTGTCCATAAAGTTAACTGAGCTCTGTCTTTACATCACAGTAAGAATTTTATGTCGATTGACTGCCTGGAGGGTAGCTAGTGTTTGGAAGGGAGAGGAGGTGTGTGCTCAGTGTTTTTCCACCAGTGTTTTTGAGGGCATGTCGGGCTGATAGCTCTTGTCCTCAGTAGTTTTATTTTGTTTATTCACACTAGGTTCAGGGGTGCTGTGTGCTTCATGTTTTTGGTTTTGCAAAGTATTTTAGTCCGGGAGGTTTTTGGTTTACTCCTTTTATTTTTTCTGTAGTTAGAATAATAGTCCCCCTTTGGAGGATCTCTTTTTGTTATATTCCTTTGTTGATTTCCACAGCACCCATTGGCCCATTTTCTGTTGTGAGTTCTGTTTGCCTTGTTTTAAATAAATATCCTTTCAAAATACCAGTTATATCTGGTTTATTTTTATGTCCCAATACCACTAGCCCTACAGGATGTAACAAAATCTTTCAAAACAGACCCTGATTTGCTTTTGACAGGTCATCATCCAGCACAACTTAGTTGTCCTAGAGTTGTTCAGAAAAACATCTACAGTTCCCAGGCAACTGAGCAAACTCCATCTGCTGATGCAGGCCGTGTGATATTGTAAAAATCTCCAGAATGAGTAAGTAGACCTTGAGTTGAGACTTCGTCAACTGCTGTTTCAAAGGCCAAGGTAATGATTTATAGAAGATATTTCAAAGCAGAATCTGACGAAGTCGGTATAACCGGGTATTTTTTTCCACTTTTCTCACAGTGGACTAAGTATCCCATATGACTAATTGATAAAAAAAATTCTAGTAATAAAAATTCTCTAGACACCTGTAAAGGTCATGTACTGGGATTTTTAATTTTTTTCCTCACAAGACAAGCACATCCAGACTATTTTCAAAATAAAAACAATTGCTGCAATTGACCCCTTGCTAAGCCCCCCCCCCCCCCTTAGTTCCTGTTGCTAAGTCCGACAAACTGTTGGATGCTCGGAGTTTTAACACGGCGCTGCCACTGTCTGTAACTGCTCTGCCTGGAAAATATTGTCTAATTTCTGGAAAAAGGGATCGCAGAAAGAAGCAGACAGTTTTGCAGTTGCATTATACATTTGAAGGTTGTATTCAGGCAGTGAAAAAAATAAAGACGACACTAAAGCCTACCGATCACAGAGTAAAAGTGAGCCTGACTATTGAGAAAGAGGACGACATTAAGGATTAACGCTGTTCTGTAAAGCTGGGTAGGTCTCTATTCACTATTACAATCATTAAAAAGCAGAACACTAGGGCTATGTAACGTTACATTCAGTTAGCTAGCGTTAGCTAACAAATATTACATTAGGAACAATCCACAGCCTACATCTTTCTGGATTTGTTTTAGGTTTTGGAAAGGAAATAAATCGTAGTTCTTCTTTCAACCTCTCTGGGTAGCGACTGTAACTATTACCTCAGTGCCTCAGGAACAGCTTTGACCAAATCTTGGAAAATACTTCAAAAGAAAGCTAGAAAACAGCTCATTTTGCATTAGAGTCAAAGGAACGCTGCCATGAAAGTGTCAGACCTCAGTTGGAGCGAGTCCTATACTGCACTGTGATTGGCCAGCTGCGTATTCGGGGCGTGGCTTAGCAAAGGGTCAATTCCCCCAAATTACTGCAGTATTTTCTGAAAGGCTGCTGTAATGGAGGTATTGCTATCTCAGGCGTCAGGCGGTCAAGCAAAGGAAATCAGATCAGAGAACACTGAAATTAAACCGGACTCTTCAGGCACGAGGCAGCCTTGGTAGATTGGCTTCACAGATGAAGCACCTACAGCTATTTAAACTTGAATATGGCGATAAAAGAGGCTATTTGCTTGTACAAAGCTATTTTTAAGGGTCTGTGTGCACCACAACTTATTTGCAAAAATATCAAAGTGAGCGAAATTGCAGCACTTTTAGTTTGAAAACACTTAACCGTACAAATTGTCCATGCTGCACAAATGTACACGGGTTGACTGCTTCATAACATTAAAGGACATAAAATATTATTAAAGATGGTTATTGGTGGGCTAAAACAGCACAGAGGGTTTTTTTTCCAGCAATGTAGTTTGTAAGATGGTCCCTAAATAAACTGCCTGTAATTACAGTGAAATTTAATTAGACATTACCAAAAGCTTCAGGCAGACATGCTGTATATACAACTTCCAATCTTTCTACAGACCTCTCTTGGATCATTATTAGAAGTGTGTTGTAATTACTGGCCAGTCAACTGTTAACATTCAATTACTGATAATGATTTTTGCAGTTTTTCTCCCAATGTCGCAAAAAGCTTCCCACAGGGTGATCGGTTATTTGTAAAACAATCAAACTAAGAAAATGCACATGTCCAACAACAAAAACTTCCAATAAAATAAAAGTATGTTGCATCCCAGCAAAGAATGGAGCCTAAATCGAGAACTATACAATGAAAGCCAAAATGATCTGTATTCATTGAAACTGCAAAACTCAATTCCCCTGACAGACGATGAGTGGATCGGCCTTCACAAGGTTCACAGTCAGTCTTTTGATCTTGAAGTGACTCTCCCATACGGCTCACTATGACATTTATCAGTGGCTCCCAGCCGGGACTTAGAAAGCAGAGACCATATCGACCTCTTCAAATGACAGATAAAGGCAGGACCAAGGTCGCTGGGTTACTGTAGGCCTACACTTGTGTGAATTATGTTCAAAGCTGGAAGCTTTTCAGAAAAATAACTTTCTTTTTTCATTGTTTTATAATCTTTATTTAATCCTGCACGATTAAACTCAGTGTTTCCATTCTGTTATTCTTTACACACAGGTCCGAAAGACACACATATGCACATGCACAAACAGGACAGCAACACACGGAGAGATGTCAGAGTGAGGGGGCTGCCACTCAGTGCGGCTCCCTGAGCTGTTTGTGGGCGGACCCTCTGGCTGGATGAATTTTACGCATAAATCATGCACAACAGCTTGGGCCCTGATGCAGTGCCACACAACTTTCTAAATTCCTCCATCTCAGGAAGAAAATAAAGGTCAGGTCGAAACAGTGTAGAGAGACTGCCGCAGCTGTTGTGTGAAGCTGCTTCCACCAATTATAAAACAAGTTCATTAAGATACGATAATAGCGCTGAGTGCTGTTTCACAACGACACTCGTTTTGTTTTACAAATCCAGCGCACCTCTTTCCTTTACAGCTGAGGCCCTCCCTAAAGGTATATTAAGTGTTGCTTTACCTGATCGGTGCTTGTTAAATATCCACGGTGTCTGCATCTTCTAACGTCATAGCGATTTATAGTTTTCTCACCGCTGGTTTCTGTCACTGCATCTCCTGACAAAACACCACGGTTTTATTTCAGCGTTCTATGTGTGTGTGTGTTCTTATTTTTATACTCATTATATTAGTCTGTCCATATATGTAGGGCTTAGGTCAGAGCTGTGAGATTGTAAGTAAGTAAGTAAACTTTATTTATATAGCACCCTTCACAGACAAGGGGTCACAAAGTGCTTCACAGTAAAAAATAGAATAAAATAAAACAAATAACAACAACAACACTTAAAATAAAAAACTATATGGCTAGTTAAAAGCTTGTCTAGAAAGATGTGTCTTAAGGTGTTTTCTAAAAGTTTAGGGAGTAAAGGGAGAGAGCCTAATTTTAGGGGTAATGTTGTCTGGGGCAAAAATCAACACCTCAGTTTTGTCTGTATTTAGTTGCAAAAAGTTGTCTGCCATCCATTTGTTATAATATAATGGATGTCATCAGCATAACAATGATAAGATATGTCTTCAAAGCTACCAATAATCTTTCCAAGAGGAAGCATATACAGACTGAAAAGCAGGGGGCCGAGCACAGAACCTTGGGGCACACCACAGGACAAAGGAGCAGAGTCTGACACATATGTTCCTATGGACACAGAGAAACTCAGAGAGATAGGAGGAAAACCAGTTCAGAGCTGATCCAGTAATGCCCACAGTTGTTTTCAATCTATCAATCAGAGTGCAGTGATCAACAGTATCAAACGCTGCACTGAGATCTAATAGGACCAGCACAGAACTTTTACCCCCATCAGCAGCCATCAAAATATCATTTGAGACCCTAAGGAGGGCAGTCTCAGTTGAATGGTTTTTACGAAAACCAGACTGAAATTTATCAAAGATATTATGGGAATCCAAAACATTATGTAGCTGGTTCGCAACAACATTTTCTAGAATTTTCGAAAGAAAAGGCAATTTAGAAATAGGCCTATAGTTTCTAAATGAAGCTGCATCAAGATTGTTCTTTTTCAAGGTAGGCTGAACAACCGCATGCTTAAAACAGCTGGGGACCTGGCCCAGCTGTAGAGATAAGTTTAAAATTGAAACCAAACATGGGCCAAGTAGATGTATGGATTTTAAAAGCAAAGATTTGGGTAAAATATCAACAGGGCTTTGTGAAGGTTTCATCATGCCCCCTAACTTAATGATATCATTCAGGGTAATGGGGCAGAAGGAGTCCAGTATTGAAAGTCTGTGATGTTTAACTATATGGGGGTTTGCTGATGGAACAATGCCTGCCCTGACAGCTCTAACCTTGTCCACAAAGTGAGATAAAAAGTGGTTGCAGTCAACATTTGAAAACACAGGGACAATACATACAGCTGGAGAAACAATGTTGTTAATGGTCTCAAACAGAGCTTTAGGGTTTTTTGACAGGCAGATATCAGGTTAGTAAAGTAAGAGATCTAGCATCCTTGAACATTCCATTTAAGTCTATTAAGAGCTCTGTAGATGTAGGCGGTGGACTGAGTCGCTTTCCATAAATGCACAGTTCTCTGACAGACACGCCTCAAGCTGCGAATGGTGTCATTCGTCCACGGGGATGTATTAACAGAGGGAATTTCTCTAGTGTTAAGAGGCGCCACTTTGTCCAACATCAGGGTGCTGTGATCATTAAACGCCTGTGCACAAGCGTCCGCGTCATTTGAAATAAGAACCGAGCTTGCGTCAAATGCGGCTGAAATTTCTCAACAGTAAGCTGGTTAATCAAACGTGAGCAGGACGCTCGTTTAGCAGGCAGAGGATCCTCATCACAAACAAGATCAAATAAGATGTATTTGTGATCACTAACAAATACATCTTCAATGCAGACATTATTAATGTTTAAACCATGAGAAAGAACAAGATGGAGCGTATGTCCCTTGTTTTGATTGTTTTCCTTTCTTGCTGTTCCTCTCCTTTCCTTGAATTTTCATTCAAGGCCGGGAGAGGATCTCTGTTCCCCAAAACATAGAAACCTAGATGAAACCTAAATGATTATGCATCCCTTTGCTCAGGGCCAGATGTTAGTGACTGTCCTAGGAGACAGAACCTCTGGCCCAGCTGATTAACATTGTAGTACTTATCTGTCTTTCTCTTTTTATTAATAAATTCTTATTTGCTTAATCCCTCACCAGCAATTTACAAATTTCCACGGCAAATAGCATCAAACTTTCCTAAACGGCTGTGGCTGGAAATGGCAATGGAAGACATCGTGGACATGGAAAAACATGCAAAGCAACAAAATGAATTTTATTCATCATATAGCCTAGTGTTTTACAGAAAATATTCAAATGTAACCCCCAATGTAATCGTGAGCATTTTCATAAGTAACTGTAATTTAATTGCACAATCTTCCCTAGTTACTGTAATGTATAACAGTTACATTTATTTTGTAATCTAATTCAAGAATACGTTCTTTTATTCATTTCTATCTGTGGGATGGTTCTTGTTTTGTCAGAGGGGTTGTTGTTTGGGATGCTTTAACTGTGCTCCCCCTCATGATGGGCGTCTGGGCACATGAAGAGCTGTTTTCTTTACTCTGCTTTGAGCTGGACTGGTACAGTGCATAGCCATCGTCTCCACTTCTCACAGAAGTAGGTTTTATGTTTTTTATGTTGGTGAATATCAGGTGTTGTACTGTCTGTGCCATCTGTGTGCATAGATTGTATTGTGATGCACTATTGCTACGCCTGGCTACAATCATCACTGCTGTGACCACTAGAAAGTGTAGTTGTGACACCCCTTTAAAAATGCGCTTCAGTTCACCATCTCTCTGAAGACGGTAATAATTTCACTCTAACTGCATGTGGCTATCAGCGTTGGTGTTTGTAAATTGAACTTTTTTCCAATGAGGCTCAGTTGCATGGAAAGAGCCCAATTTTGTGCTAAATGTAAATATGTGCAAATAGCATAAAAATCCCCTTTCCAATGCCTGGGGGGGTGTTGTGTTCGACACAGGTTCAAACACACTGATTCATTTGCCTGTTTGGTTCAGCTTGTTAAGGCTGTTGTGGATTAAATTGGAAAATACATAAATTGTTTTTCCCTGTGTGGGTCCAGGTAGAGATAATGATGCCGAGTGACAGTCACCAAAACAATCACTCAACAAGTTACCTGTCTGTCCATGCCATCATGTTTACTCCTCTTGGTTTGTTTGTAAAAGGTCAGTATCAACACAAAACATTTGACATCTGGACCAAATGAACCCAACTACGTGTGAAAGCTACCTTAAGCTCTCATTTTTCATTCTTCACCCAAAAACTTATGGTCATTTGTTTAACAACAAATGCCTCTGAGGAGAAACTGTCCGAAAGTGTGTGCCATTATCCCCATTTACACTATAAATTCCATCTAGAATTCAAAGACATGCAGACTACTTGAAGGGAAGGAAGCAGTCAGTAGGCGGCTGTGATGTTAGCCGTTTTGCTCCACCTTTGAGTGTGGCCATTCAGGATAGGTATAAACTTTTTTGCCTTTAGAAGTCAACATTGTATTGTACGACCTTGTTTGTTTGAAGCATACTAAACCTTCAATAAAAGGATTACTAAGGATTAGGTAGGGATTATGCAGATTTCAGAAATTCAAGTGTTTATATTAACAGCTCATCAGTACGTATATGGTAAATTATAGAGGTGTGTTGAAGCACATGTGTAACGTGAAGCACACCGTGCATAACAGCAGCATCATATACATTCAGATCGTGTGCTAGTCACACACGAGCCATTGCCAAGGCAGCGTGTCAAAATGAACAGCTGTCAGAACAACAACCCAAGTGTGTTTTCTGTTGTGTGATTAGTGCAGGAGATTAAGACGCTGGTTGTTTGCCAGTGAGAAGAAGGAGACAAAAATTCTGCTGCAAACTGTACAAATGAAAAGCAGAAAAATTGGATTTTTTGCCACATCCTTTTTCGTTCCCAAACCTGCATATATAAATGGACCGGTTTCAGAATCCTGCAACCGGTCCACAGTTACAGTGCTTTCTGTAACTGTTCCCAGTTGCTTCTGGTTTTATGTGTGCCTGCACTCACACTGAAAGGAAATTCACTGCGGTTTAATATTTTGTTCTTACTGCAACATTAACAGCGTGTTTAATAATGTGCTGAAAGCCAGCGTTCAGTTAAATTATAGGCGACTGGGATGAAGTGGCATGTTGGAGTGAGAGATAGTGATGCTCCAACTTTCAAAAGGGCCATTTAAAAAGGACAATGATAACACTTGAGAGTGAGAGACAGTGAATCTGGAGTGACACATGCATGTCAAACTTCAGAATGCCCACCTTCAGAAGCCAAAAAACTTTCATGACCCAACCCCCCAGAAAAAGTGGAATTTATTTTTATCAATCAATAACAATACAGGCAACTGAATTAAACAAGATTCCGGTTATAAATATAACCTTGTTTGCTGCTTTAAATTTTTTCCTCTGGCCCTCTAGGTGAAAGATGTTGACAAAGTTGACACTTTGTTTGGAGAACAGGTGAATCTCAAGGTTGAGAAATTTCGGGGGTGATTTCATTCAAGTTCTCCTACAGCTTGCAGTTCATCCATATGCTCAGCAGCAAGAGATGGAATAGGTATACAGAATCAGTTCACACAATCAGCTGCAGAGTCAGCTGTTTTGGATTGCTCTCTGAATTGAGGCTCAGCTATGGATCCATTTGTTTTAGACTGTTAGACGCAGGAGAAACAAAATCAGCTGGGATTAATGTTTTGCATGTCAAGGTTTTTGTACTAAACCTGATAAACTTCTGTCTTTCTATGGTTTAAAATAAAGTACAAGAGCTTGAATATTAATCAGATTAAGGATGACTGATACAAAAGTTCAAGTCTATCACCCTTTCAAAATAATTTCATCCTCGCTTTACTGTTGTCAGCTCCACCTTGGGGCTCAGTCAAACTCTGGTGATGATACTGATGACATAAATTGTGGGAAGCGTATCTGTTCTCAGGGTCCTAATCCTCTAACCCCTACCCTAGAACTGGAGAACATAGGACCCTTTGACTACATCCACACTACAACTACTACTAAAAAACACGTCAAGTGGCATGTAAACTGGGCATGAACGTGCTGGTGTAAACAGGAAGAAGATTATCTACTCCGCAGTTGCAGATGATACGGTGAAAGAAGAAAGTGCTACTAGAGACGAACAAAGAATAGCAGTGGCGAAGAACCACAACAGAGATTTGTTTGCATGGACCAACAATGAGGTGGAACTGTTACTAAAGTAACACTGGAGTACAAAGCGACAGTGGCGGCGGAAAACAGTCGTAGCAAAGCAAATAGGACATGCACAGTATAAGTGTAAGTGTGTGTGTTAAAGTGTGTTTGAACAGTACAAAATATTTGAATAAAAATACCAAAACAAAAGTCTGTCAGTAGCATTGTGTTTTTGCTTTGCATTACTCACAAGACATAATTATGGAAGTCAATCTTGAGTATCTGATTCATTTCAACTAATAAGCTGCTCCACCTGGCATCAACGCCAACAAACACACTTGTGTAAAATGCATTGTACTTTACATGCATAGTGTAAGTCTAAAATGATTAAATATGTGTGGCAGCCTCTAAATATGATAACAGAAGGAACAAATTTGGGTATTTATGACTAACAGAGAGAGGTGTTTTAAGTTACTCTGCAAACAAACTAATCTGTCTAAAAACAACAATTAGTGATAGTTGCAGGAATGGGTGAAACTGCTCGACAATGACTCCCGGCCTGACATTCTGCAGTTCATTAATAGAAGGTGTCATAAGTGTTATATGTTGTTGTAACATGTTATAAATGGGCCTGAGTGTGTTGAAGGAGGAGAGGTGTGTAGCGTGACATAAGCATTTTTGCCAACTTGTAGTTGTACCTACGACAACCACTATATGGATTGCTCTGAAATTCTGACATTCATGGTCCCCAGTGGATGAATCCTAATGACTTTGGTGATCCACTGGCTTTTCCTCTAGCGCCACCATGAGGGTGACATTTCTAGTTTTGAGTGAAATGTCTTGATTACTATTGGATGGATTGTCTGTTGAAGAAATCATGCAGGCCTCACCTAGAGATATTATTTGTAAACTGTAAACCGTTTTATTCACCGAGGGAGTTTTCCTCGTTTGTTCTGGTCGCTGTTTACATTCCACCTCAGGCCTGTGTTAGTGAGGCGTTACTACACCTGGCCGACCAGATAACTAACGTGGAGAAAAAACACCCAGACTCCCTGCTCATTGTTCTACGTGACTTTAACAAAGAAAACCTCAGCCATGAACTTCCAAAGTACAGACAGCATATTAAGTGTCCCACCAGGGACACTAACACACTGGACCACTGCTACACAACATTAAAGGACGCCTATCGCTCTGTTCCCCGTGCAGCCTTGGGACTCTCTGATCACTGTCTGGTTCATCTTCTCCCGACACAGGCAAAAACTGAAATCTGCTAAACCTGTTGTAAAGACTGTGAAAAGATGGACAAACGAGTCAAAGCTGGAGTTACAGGCCTGCTTTGACTGTACTGACTGGAGTGTTTTTGAGGCTACAGCCACTGACCTGGACGAACTAACTGACACTGTGACATCTTAAATCTTACTGCCGAATAAAACCTTCCGCACATACAACAACCAAAAACCATGGTTCACAGCGAAACTCAGGCAGCTTCATCAGACCAAAGAGGAGGCCTTCAGAAGTGGGGACAGAGTCTTTTACAACCAGGCCAGGAACATGCTGACTAAAGAGATCAAAGCTGCAAAGAGGTGCTATGCTGAAAAGCTAAATAACAACCCTGCGTCAGTGTGGAGAAGCCTGCGGACACTCACAAACTACAAGAGACCATCCCCCAACACTGCTTGTACTCAACAAATGGCAGACAAGCTGAATGGTTTCTACTGTAGGTTTGAAAGCCCATAGTCACACCTCTCCCCCACTCCAACACCATCTTCAACAGT